ATATATATATACATATCGATATCGATATCTACCTATATATATATATATATATATATGTGTGTGTGTGTGTGTTTGTACAGATTTATGTCTATGTATTTGTGTGCACTTCGGTTGTCGCTTTGCAACCCTTCAGTCAAAGCTCTTACCACAGTTTCTGCTATGCAGGCACGTGAGGTCCTAGGACCCTCCTTGGCTAAGACATACATAGGGGCCTTAGTAGTAAAAAAAAGTCTGAAGGTACATCTTAACTATAGTATCTAACTAGCACTTTCAGGGACTATTCATACCTCTTACCTGTTATTCCGGCACCTAGAGTAGGGTTGAGGGCTTGGGGGTCCAGTGAACACCTTGTACCGAAGCTCTCCAGTTCGTCCGCGCAGCGTTATCTTTAATCCTACTATCTTGCTACTGTTGGTTTGCCTAGTAGGGCCACGGCTATGACTCTCACTCCTGCTGCGACTGTCGCTATCACTCTCACGCTCACACGCTCAGCAGCACTAGTAGTACTATCATGGTAAATGTTGCTAATTAATATTGTGTTTATATGACTATGACTAGTGTGCGATGCCCCTACCACAAGGACGCTAGCCGGCATCTGCAAACTACCATGCTCAACAAAAGGAAGCCTATCCTAGGTCCTAGAATGCCAAGTACTTAAAGCATACAGACTGTGGCGTTGTAGGGCTTGGTGTTAGGGTCTACAGTGGTCAATGGGGTTGCTTCTAGGACTTATCCCAAAGGGTCCTAGTCCTTGAATCCGACTTCTGATTTAGGGTTTGTAGTTTTGGGGTTTGGGGCCTCTGATTTGGGGCTCCTTATACCTTGAACCCAAAATACCCCGAATCTTCCATGGACTGACCTCCCCTAAACCCTAAAAAGCCCTGAAAGCGACTGAACTCTCTTCCTTCAGCCGGAGCGACTAAGGACTGTGAGAGTCGGATCAGAGACTCAAGGATCCGCGGCGTCGCCGTGACCCTTTGACTGGCTTCATGTAGGGTTTAGGATTTAAGGTTTANNGGCTTAGGGCTTAGGGTTTAGGATAACCTTTTCTTCTTCTTGGGATGCAGACTTTGCAAGAATGGGAGCAAGGTTATACGATTGTAGTAGAATGCTGTGGGAGCTATAAGTCTAAAAGCCAGTATGAAGAACATCAGGGCTCTGTGAAAAGGTACTTGGCCTTTGGGGTTGGGGGCTTCAAGGGTCAACGGTTCGGGCTTTTTCCTTATCAAGCCTTCTGGAAGTCTAAACCCTATAAATAAACCCTAACTCACACCCTAAACCCCAAACCCTAA